TGATTAAACTAATTCCTCTGTGGTTTTCACAGGAGGATCTATCACCTTTCTTGTAAATCGGTATGATCACCGATTCGCACCATTCAGTTGGAATAACAATCAGTGCAAAAGTGAAGTAACTGAAAACGAGAAACCAAGATAAACACAAAGATAGTCTAGGTAAATCCTTGCAAGACATGTTCGATAGGGTCATGATAAATGCAGAATTGAATGGAAAACTGAATTCATAATAGACGTCTCAGATTAAAAGGCTAAGAAATTCCATACATTTTTCATAATAACGTGGTAAAGGCCCCAAAACAGGTTCCGGAATAAAAAGATTGCATACTCAAAGTGCTGTGCGTTCATTCTCAGAGCGTGTTGAAATCCCGTCGTTATCTAGTGAAACAATGGCTGCATACATGATCGGGCTGGCGAAGATATAATGTAGTAAAGATACCGAATAGGGACGAAATAGTGGGAGAGCATCAGCGATTTCTATCACAGAGCAAACTGGCTGATGTTCAAGTTGCACCTGGCGCAAAGTAAGCACGAATATGTAGGGTGAATACAAACTCAATGGGTTTGGGAAGCTCGGGTCGCCAACTAATGTGACACAACCCAACCCTACGCATACACATAGATACATCTTTCAACGGTGGAAACTAATCACAATGGATACGATAAACCTTAGTTCTGCAATTTCACTATCCTGCAGTCTCAGCCCAACGAGTACAAGGTTTTTTAGATCTGGGACAAATAGCATCCAATCTGAGTCATTTTCACATCATCCACTGATTCATCATGTGCCTTTCTTCGCCCGTCAGGTGTCAAGTCAGGTTCAGTAGAATATGGCAGTGTGACACAGTAAACTGATGCAGCACGTATCTTAACCGGCGAAATGCACTCATATGAAGTCGGTAAAGAAAAACGTGTTCCTAACCGACTCACACCATTTCACTTGCAGCAAATTGCGTCGAAATTTTTCAGTTCCGAGTACGACACCTCATTTGAGTCTGAATAATAACCACAGTGTGTGCTAGTGGAATCTGCGATTTATTCGTGGACGCCAAACTATCAGTGTTCAGGTTAGACAGGTGGTTTTCTGACGGATTGAAGCTGACAACCTCAGCCTGATCAGCAGGCTGGTGAAAAGATGTGCGGACAATGCATTGTAATGAATCCACTGTTCGATTTGTCGGATCTTATGTCCAATCCGCCCTATACGATCTATCGCGCGACGAAACCGATGATTTCGCTACTAGGATGTCCGATACTGTACTTGAGCAAACGAGTCGGTGAGCTAACTATTGTCTTCGAACATTCCGAGTCATGCTCATAGAGCGGGAAAATGCCTACATAGTGAAAGCCACCGATTCAATTTAAGGTCAATAATCGACAGAAGAGGATCTTGTGCCTGTGTGTGATATTAATCCGTTGGAGATATACCTCAAGTGTGAACTCGGTTTTGCCTTAAGCGCGCGTTTCCATGCGCAGTGCCTTCATTGTGGTTCAGTTTTGAAGATAATTTAACGCTCTATCCAACGAACTTCTGTTCCCTTTTTGCTGTGTTTCCAAGAGCGCTACGGATATATATGGAGTAGTTCAATGAGCTGCCGTTAGCCATCACGCCTGCACATGTGTCCGTCCCCCAAATGCAGTCAGGACGACCGATAAGCCTTTACTGCTTTCGCTCATTGTTCTGCCCACCTCGTACGGTTGATTCAGTCCTACTGAATTCACTCCAATCAACCGATTCAACTATTCCTCATCTCGCTATTCACTGCTTCAAAATGGGTTTTCGGAATGTACCAACAAATGCTACGCCTTTAGTTAAACAGGGTTTGAGTGTATGTAGTTTGACAGGCTGTGACAAATATGTGACCTCAAGAATGTCAGAAATCTTTTCAGAACTATTTTCACCCAGCGGGCGCGAAACTAACGTGTAAGTTGTTGCACGGATTGATTGAATATAACAACTGTCAAATGAGTATTTGGAACCTAAAATAGGCATGCACAAGTAGTATTAGCTGCAAACACTAAAATCTGGAATGATTTCTTTGAATTGGACCACCGAGCGTCTTCAGTTTTCCCCAGTAGCACCTATCCAACGCATCGCTGAACTTAGTAAGGTACCAAAACAGCGAGGAACACAAACGCTTCGCTAGAACCCTGGAGCCACCTTCAGCCAAAAATATCTACATCGTGAATGTAATAGGAGACAGTCACATAAACAGAAGCTACAGTCAATTTATTGAGGGACAGATAAGTGGAAGAGCTTGGTCACTGGCTGCAGTATTTGCACAAATGGACATAGAGGTTCATCCAGTGAGCATCGCACGCCTATTTCCCCAACCGTCCTTGCCTCATGCTAGAGAGCGCAGATTATTTTGAGTTACTTAGAAGAAAGTGAGAACGTTCATTTTCCTAGTTACCTTCTTGTCAAAAATTCTAGAAGAACAGGAATAGCGCCTGACAGATCGCGGAAGGGACGAACACGGTAAATGGAGGCGAGTCAGAGAAAAAATGGTGTTTTGATTTACGGAGTCCCTGAATAGAACGATCTATATGGATGAACAAATCAAAAAAACGAATGAGGGTTCATTCAAGAGCTGCTTGAATGTCGCAACATTTTCACCAAGTCAATCAGCCGGCTTCCGTGTTCAACAAACTACCGCGGAAACGGTCTGAGGATTATGGAAGTAACCCGGAAATGTTCGCATCGGTCTTGCACGCATGGTATGAAAATGAAGCCAAATTCTTAAAAGTACAGTTTATTCAGTTTACAACTTCCATATTTTCTACCATATGTCTGACAATCCCCGATTGACTGCGAACACCTTCAAAACTGGAAAGGTAAAAGCTCGAAAGTTGGCGTAGCGTAATAATTCATCCGCGGCTGAACATATCCATCTACAGACTCTGACCTTCTTGCAAACCACATATAGGAAATAATCACTAATTTATACGAAAGTATGTTGGACAAGACAGTAATTTCTCAATCCGAGGAACACGGTGTTCTTTCACCCATTTACAAAGAAAACTGCTGAAATGATTCCGCAAACTATCGCCTAGTTATGCTTCTTCCTATCCTGCCAAAAGTAGTGGAGTCGAGTTTTGCTGATCTTATAATGGATTCGTTTGAGAAGTCTGACATTTTGTCACCAGTTTAATGCGGGTTTAAACAATCATGCACCCCAAATCTGCTACTTGCTTGAAGTGAGTGAACAAGAACAGTTGACCCGGGGGAGACAGTGGACATGACATAATTATAATTCTCCAAAGCTTTTGGCAGGGTGAATCATAATGTGCTGTTGCGAAAGTTCACTAACTACGGTGTTTGAGGGACTGCTGCTTGACTGAATCGAGGAATTCCTTCGACAACGTGCCGCATGAGTACGAGTTCATGGTTTGCTATCGGGATAAAACGACTTTTTTCGTGGAGTTCGACAATGATCTGTACTTGATCTCCACTTTTTCCTAGCAATTACAAACGACCTACCAGATATTCTTGGGGGACAAGTACCATTGTTCACTGACGACACCAAAACATGAACAGTATAAGTTCCTGAAGATTGTGAAACAATACAAGAAACACTCGGTGCAGCTTACCGGCAATCTATCACTAATGACATCGAAACCGACCTTGAGAAATGTAAGGCTGTATCATTGCGTCACAGGAGTCGCTTTCCATACGTACTTGGAAATCAGGCTTTACCGCAGGCGCCGAAAGAAAAAGGTCTGCAACTTAGTATTCGGGAGAATTGACGACGTTCCAAGCACTGTGTCATCAATAGCCCTAAAGCAGTTTGGATTACTCAAACCTGTTTTTGGAAAGTTCATGACTTATTAGCCAATTCGCTATCAGCACACGCTAAGTATGTCATCAATGTTTGGGATCGATGGCTTGAACGTTAACAAAGAAAAACAAACAAAAATGGTCAAATGTCACCATCCAAAACAAAAGTTGAAAAGCCGTAAATCCTCGTACTCTATTCCACTCAATGCGGGTCATCACAAAAATATGCGTCAAGAACCCAGGAAAACGTCAACAGCATATGTATTATATCGTGATACGATCACGATGGGTTTCATCAATCGATGTGCTGAAAATGAGAAAGGAAGTATCATGGACCTTCCACTTACTCCAACTGGAAATTCGCCAACAAATGTGGAAAAATCAACCTCATCCGCTTCAAGTTACCTTAAATCCATCGAAGACAGTTTCCTCAAAAGCAGCTCAAAAATAACAGAGAGTGAGTCTAAACGACGAGCTATCAAAAGAGATGCTCTGTTAACACATTTAGGGAGGACCTCCAGATGAAAAGGGAATGAATCTTAAATGTTACAATCCAACTATTTACAAAAGAGAAAGAAATCCGTCCAATCAATTCGCTCAACGTTTCCGGGCTGCCTCGGGACACCAAGCGCTCTGCCATAACCGATTGTAGGCGGTAACCGGCAGCAACCGATACTGAATTTAGAAAGCGCTTTCAATGTTCGGACAGTTTTGGACAGAAAGAAGCTATTAAACCCATTGGTTTTACTTCTAGAGACTATCTAATTCAGAACGATAATAAAATATAATGACGGATCAGCAGCTCAATCACTCTCTAACACTCACTTGACTTTCAAAGGGGAAATTCATGGTGTATATCGCAAACGACGGGTGAACTGAAAAGCTAGGAAGGACTAGACAGCTGTTTCGATCTGGTTGGGTCTCATCAGCAGTGCGAATCCATTGGCCCAACTGGGGATCGAACCCGGGAACTCACAGGCAGGACGCAAGCATGCTACCCACTTGGTCACTGGACAGGTGATCAAACCGTTTCTCATTTCCCATTTACATGATATAGTACAATCCATCTTTGCGAGCTTGTTGCAGGTCCCAGACCCCGCTCATTTCAGCACTAGCCTCCGGGGTTATGACTCGATTGCAAACAATCACAACCTGACTATTTGATTCATGTAAGTAATGGAGGATTTGATTCAGTTTCCCCTTTAAAACTGAATTAAATCCTCCATCACTCGCTCAATAGACTGTTGCGATTATTTGATTGGTCAGGAGAGCATAAAATGAAATTTAAAGCATCCAAACGACCGGAAATCAACACTTCTATGTAGGCGTTGAAGAACTGAGAGGAAACTCATGAAGACTCAAATTTAACCAGAGTCTTCGAACCTCTACTCTTTGTCCTATTTGACTTGTCGCACTGTTTCTTTTTCTTTATCCAACTCGGTTAGAGAGTTCCGGGTACAAGATTGGATCACCTCATTCTTGTTTTTAAAACAAAGATAACGCGGTGTGTGAGAAAGACTGGGGGTTCAAACAAGATAGACATAGCCGCACAACTCCTTGCAATCAGCCACCTAATCGCTTTACCGCAGTAGGAGATACTCACGCCCGTCTAAACCAAGGTGGTTTACGCCAAGGAAGAAGTTATAACAGAGAGACTTGTTTTGGGGCAGGATCTTGGAGCACCACTACAAGTTCCAACACCGAGTCATAGCCACCTCATCAATTGCCGAGTAGATCTTGACTCCAGTTACAGGAATACCACATGGAGTAGTTAGAAACCGGGAAGTATCGCAAAACAACAAATCCTATAACATCACACTATCAAAACACTCAGACAAGCAACCATGTAAAACAGGAGTCAACTGAGTTCAGTTTGGACTCCGGAGTGGTGGCACAGTGGTTTAGTCGCTGCCACAGGCGTGCTTTGGACCCTATGGTCCGAGTTTAAAGACATGCCACCGCCACCCAACTTTGGTGGTAGGCAGCTGTGCTGTCGCCCGGCTCAATACCACACATAACCTATCGGGGCCCTATTGTGGTTCGCCACTCCAATTCCCGGGGCTTGGGTTACCTGTTTCCATCACTGAACAGCAGGTCCTCGTGACTATAGAGCTTTCCCCGTTCGCTGTTCATCACACTAAGATGAATTTCTTCAGCCGGCAACAAAGTTTTCAATGGATCAAGTATAATCAGTAGTAGATCTCAAATATTCGAAAAGCCAAGTCAGAGACATGAGTAAACCGCATTTGGAATGTAATTCAGCAGTTCATTCTACACATCACGTCCGCCTTTATTCCGCACTCATAAATAACTGTGAAAATGTCCAATAAGAGCCAAGAATAACCACAAACGGGAGGTTTTGCCACTTGTACCTCCGTAGTGTCTTAAAAATTTGCTGGCGTGATCTTTAATGACCAGAGTTGACAGAGATTTTATTAAACGGAAAAGATATTATTGTTTTCCAACATTACCACTTCGAATAGCCACCACGGGAGCTACAGAATCGCTGTTTTCACTCAACAACTTTTGCTTCTTTTATCCTGGTGGTTCTCTGAAGACCTGAATTAGCACAGACCAATCCAAGATGGAGCAACTAGACCGTCAACCCGCTTACGACTTCGAATGAAGACGTAACTGGATAGAAACCTTCTGTGTTCAGTATTATGAGCATTATCCTAGTTGCACTGATGCCCATGATGACTTCTTAGTCGCTAAATCACAATAAAGGCATCAAAGGTGATATATAGGCGAAACATCTTCTGATAGCCATGTCTGACCTTTTTGAAGAAGTGCACTAACTAACGCAAAAAAATATTGACAATGGAATATCTTAAACTGAGACAGGATGACGACAATTTGAATGTACATTCAAAAATAATTTCGTAACAATTACGAGCCATATTCTCAGTCTGCTGCTGTTGTAGTGAGGGTTGAGCAAACCGGTCTATCTGATCCGGAAGGAAAATGATAAATGATGAACCCGAATCACGTGAGTGGGGAATGAAGACGAGATATCGAACACGTGCACAGCGACCTACAGGTTATAAACAGGACTGATACAGCCATAGATGTGTCATTAAAAGAAAGGAGAAATCGGGAATTTCCTAAGCAATTTATTTCGTGATTTCATGCACCATTGTCTGAAATTAGACCGTGTTAGACAAATGAAAGGACGAACATGTTACGATAAAATAACAAACTGCGAGTTCGTTGTGGGAGTGATATATTTTCAGTGTTCCAGCCAAAGCATTCGAGTTTACTGGGAATTCACAATTAAAGAGTTCTATATTCTAAAACCTACGTCACAAGCTAGTGAAACGATGCGAGATTCACATAACTTTTCATTGAAAATCTGGTTGGATAAAGTCATGATGCGTGGCAGTCGCATGCAGCACAGTTGATAAGGATAATTGAATTGAATGAAGTCTCGATGGGAACTCTGTGATTATATCCATGAGCTTAAATCACCGTAGCTCGCGGAAATTTTTTGATGAAAACAGGTGGACCATGTAACAATGCATTGAACAATGATTGCTTTTGTTTGTTCCTCACAGATGTTTTCGGGTGTTAATGATCGTTGAATCTTTTGTTCCACAATTGCCGGTGTAAGAATGGAACGATATCGTGTCATGTCATTCTAGCTGTATAATGCAACAGGTCTAAATTAAGTTCAAATGGAAATACAGTAACCGTTCGCAATCGGGTTAGTTACTAGTGACTACATTAGAGTGCTAAGCATTTAGGTTTTACGCAATCACGGTCGCGCACTCGATTGCTCAATTTAGGGAGATTATGTTGACAGGGTGTTGTGTTAAGTATGTCATCAAATAGATCAGGACGGTATATGATGTTTACTGAGGAAGTGGGTAGAAGGTCAAAGGCGGCGAAGCCGAGAACTGGCATGGAGTGTAAAAATCCCTGACCAGGAAACTCGGCAATTTAGGCTTCCTGGTTTTGAACCTCGGGTTCAGTGAAGTTGTGGTTAGGGGCACTGAGTGTCGCAAAAAGCGACGCCTGAGCAGCTACTCAATTTCTATGCAACCACAGTTTACCTGAATTCATTATCTTCATCTTGCTAGTGCTCGTAGCTTACTAGCCCTTCATCCTGCACCTGAATCCAACTGGGCAGCCAAAAGACAGCAACGAAAACCGCCGCACGAAAGTGAAAAGGTCATGATTACCTAAACTGGAAACAACCGAAGGAATATTGATTCTAATGAGACTATGGTTAAACGAATATTTTCCATTCCTTAGGTTAGTAAAGGCGTGACTCTTTATCGAGGCAGCTACGACAGTAATCTGTCTTAGACTTATCAGGTAGAAATGCACCAGTATTTGAAGTGTGCACATAATCTCGATAGTGAATCCATACCCACGTGTAATTCACGTGCTATCATACACCTACACACCGTTCTGATTCATCTGTGCTGAATTTAGTTAAAAGACAATGTGCTATTGCTGAAGAACGGTGCAACAATGTGATAAGGCTAAGAGACCACGGGAAATCGCTCCAGAACAATAGGAAAGCTTTGACTTGTGTCATCCCACATTCGCCGAACGTGAAGTTAAATAGCCTTTGTAGATTACCCACGGGGACCTGGTTCCTACTCTTCAGCTTCCTTGATAAATAACTGATCATCCGGTTAAGGAGTACAATGAAAACATTACAGAATCGCCAACGCTTACGGAACACTTTTACACAAGTCATACAATTATGTTCTCACAGAAATACTCCCGTCCCTTCAGTGCATCAACCGGACTAAATGACCTTTTATGCACGCTATGCCCCAGTCCTATTGCATGTCATCTGAATGTGACTTCAGTGGAGTGAAAATGAATTCTCCGAGAGCTCACTGTCAGTGTTTATCATATAGATGTAGCGATCGTGTTCACGGGGAATTGCTGCAGAAAGCATCATTGATTTTTCAGGAACCGATAGATATTCCTTTGCAGTCTCACGGGGCGAAAAATATGATGAACATTCTGTAGGCTTTCCGCAATTGGCCCCACCTGAGAACGTTAAAGCAGTCCAAAAACAATGTGTGCGGGTTTTTCTTTCTAGTACTTGCGTTAGAAATAAACCAAATGTGTTTTCAATCCGACTATTAAGAACAACTTACAACACATTTTTTATTGCACAAGTTTATGTAATGAATAGCGGAAAGGATAAAACCCGAAGTCATCGGGACTCATTAGTTACTTAGGATAATCAGCAACCCAATCCTCGGGACTGAGTGATAAATAGATACGGCCCTACTAGCGTAGCCGGACGAAAGTCACGCCGCCTACCAACAAAGCTGGGTGGTGGTAGTTGGTTCGAACCTCCGACCATAGGATTCCAAGTGAAAGCGACTTCAACCGCTTGATCACCCCCCAGGTGAACGTGTTTAGGAACGATTAGGTCCTCAAAAGTACCAGAAATGTATATATAATTCCCTTTAGCCGACTGTCGGAAGCAATAGGTATTCACAAATTGAACTATGCCACACAGCGTAAAAACAAAACTTACCTGAACGTCCGGTGGTAGATTCGGCGTAACCTGCTTGGTTACTGTGCAGATTTAAGGTTGACTGATAAATTGGAGGTCGACCAGACACGGCAGGAGCGTCAATATCGCTTGAATGCCCATCGTCCATTCCAGCCATTGGATTATAGGAGGCCCCGGGGACACCCAAATTGGAGTGATATTGGGACGACATGGTCCCGGAATCACGCCATCCGGCAGGCATCCCACCCATGGGATCTGATGGATTACCCATATAACTGGTGTGACCGGACAAGTTGCTCTCACTATAGGCTCCAGAGACCATGGATGGCGCTCGGGAAGATCTATTGGCGTCAGAGGCATAGGAAAATGTCGAACATTGATCGTCTGGTGCGCGGGTTTTGTTGTGCCTAGGCCAAGTGGGAATTTAATAAAAGAAGGCTCCAGATGCATATTAATTTACCGTAGCCACTCGCGTTTTGCACATAAGCAGATGCAGGATGGAGCAAAAGAATATCAAATTGGTTCGGTTGTTTATGAAACCATTGGTAATCACGCAAAACTAAAAACAAAAATATTCAGGAGAGTACTGTTGAGCAAAGTGGAGTTGAGGTGCACTCAATCGCTAAGGGATACAAGATTTTTTAAAATCACTAGTATTCGTCTATCCCTTTAGTCAGGTTTTTGTTAATGGTTTATCCACAGCTGAGCTAGATTGCTGTCAAAATTTAAAAAGCATCCTTTGATTGTCATCTACAACTTCCTTTCGCGTAATTGTTTAGGTTACAGTTTTTCGTGTTCGTTTGTAACCTTTCAGACTCGCTATCAATCTGTGGATTGGGTGGTCTGAAAAACCGATTTGTACTTTTATCCGATTAGTAAAGTCATAGTCGAGAATTCGAAAGCGAAAGGGAGGGAGTGGCGAAATGTATCGCTTCCAGTGTGGCAACGATCTGACACTGAACTAGCATTTTCGTACGAGGATAGCGTGCTGTTGAGCGATCGAAGAGACGGTTTAACAACAACACCACTTCACTTGCTGATCGAGTTAACGTACAGATGCGACGTGTCTCGGTAAAACTCGATGAAAGTTGACAGTAAGGATTGAAATTATGAGGAAGGACTAAACAACTACATGAAACACACACGGGTTAATAAGGTAGAGTGATGACCTGATTTGAAGGTCTTCTAAACCAAAGCGAAACTTTGATTCTGTATGCCTTTCACCATTCCACGTTCGAGGGCTTTGGTAACTGATTCCGATAACCGGACAGTAGATCTCGGCAATCACATAGTTTACCACACCTAGTGTGATCAAGTGAGCCGATTCACACTGATCCACGTTTTGATACATCAACAGGCAGTATCCCTCGCTAAGCTATACGGTTATTGTGCCCGGATAAACCCTTAAAATAATGCAACTCACGATAAGTCAGTTGATTTCTAATTCACCCATTACTTGTTCGCTATTTGTCATGAGTGCAACGGTTAATTTAGTGCATCAAAAGAAAACCTATTTTTTACACATCATTAACGATCTAAATTTTCATGATTCTTTCATTTGTTTACGGTTTAGTTATTGCCTTGGCTATTTCCAGTGCTTTATCCATTGGGAAGATTTCTCGTGAGACACGTTTTCATTCGATTTCCTTCCTATCACTACTGCGAGCATTTCCCAAAACCCTGAGAGAAATACAAATCTCCTCAGACAGGTGATTAATCAGAATCCACACCTTCATATTCTTTATGTTCGATCCTATTAAGACTCACACACCGCATAAAGCAAAATAGAATTTCAGCTCGGAAGCGATGCATGTTTAAAAATGATACAAAACCAGACCTACGAAAGTAGGCACATTTTGAAGAGGTATGTACAAGTACGAGGATCGAATACGACAATCTCAAGTAGTACCCTCGACCGAATTTGGAATAGATGGGTCACGTGATATCAAATGTTATATGCAATTTTCTGCCGCACCATGAAGGGGGCAGCATTGGAAGTTATGACAATCGTAGTTTGTAGCCCGAGTTGACAGGTGTAAGTTCGGTCTGACGATGGAGTCGAACACTCGATTACAACCGCGATGATAATATCCGGTTCACGGCTCGAGGTCGATTGTACTCACATCGAGAGTGGGTTCGCGAGTGTGAGCCTACTACGACGTGCAATCAAAATGACGCAATGTAGAACAGAAGTTCATGAAAAATCCGGCCAACCTCGTTGGATACCTATTGAAAAACTACACGAGTACGGAAACAAGCCAGATCACGAGTGGCACGAAGTTGAAACAAAAACTGACTGGATGCGAATCAGTAAGATACAATAGCCAGTCTAAAATGTTCAGTATTTACATACAAAAAGAGAAAATTGACACGACTAACACGGAATCATATGCAAAAAACATGCGATGGGTAGAGAGCCACATTACGCGAAACGGGAAATAAGATAAAGCGACTTTTCAATGATGATGAGTTCCATTATGGAAAAATCTAAGATTTTCAATACTCGCAAGTATCGTAGTAGATTTGCAATGGTATGAGATGCAAATCTCGTTGGCGGAGAACCTCTGCTGGAAATAGTGAAAGGCAATGAAATTTGGAGGCGAAATTTTTCAATGGTTTGTTAGGAAGCATGCCGAAACGTGATGCTAAGACCATAAAAAAAGAAAGGTGCTTCCTAAGTCTGCAGCTTTTCTCTTCACATAACACGAATGGTCTTCATAGAAGTTTGTGAATCCGGAACATAGAGCTATTGCGTATGACCTTAAAAGTACCTGCTTTTTCATCAAAAACCTAAAACCCGTTATATNGTAAATTTTCTGTGTAGAACCATAAGTTTTCAAGGATATATATATATATATATATATATATATATATATATCCTTGAAAACTTATGGTTCTACACAGAAAATTTACCGAGAATAATGAAAAAGAGTGGGTGACCTTAATAGCATTTGGCGCACTATAGTAAAAATCAAGCCGTGGTATTCTTCTTCATGTAGGTAAGGAAATCATTCGGCACTTAAACAAAACCATACGATTGCACTTTTGGTTCGTAGAACAAGTAAACGAAGAAAGCAAAGTGTATTTCTGAGAGCTGACAACAGTTAGAGGTATTTGGTGGGGAACAGAATTAGCGGGCTGCGAGGTCCAGACTAAGCAAATAGTGTGGGGCAAAATACCACGCATTACAAGCAGAAAGACACGCAAAAGTGCAACTAGGGACGTACCTCGTGAGAGAACCCACCGAACAACCGAGTGATGAAGGGGAGCCTTAAATGACTCACAAATGGGCACGATTAACACTCTGATCCGCTATACCACAAAATGTCACTCTTACAAATAGGTAAGTCTGTTGATTGTGTCGGTAGCCGAAACCTTTCCAGAACGAGGCGGGTACAAGAACCAAAGAATAAACATAACTGGTCCAATAATAATCAGCCACGTGACGAAGCATCACGCATGGAACCGCCAATAATAGTGGTTGAAATATAGGGACCAGTTGTCCCGCACAAACACGTGACACTTAGGTATACGCGTGTGTGTAAGTCTATCGAACTAATTAATGTAACACTGGAGATGCGCTTTGAGTGAACCTGATCAGTCAATCAATGGTAGCATTTCGGGTAATATGTAACACACAAACCTGGCAAATCTTGGAGAAAGATACAGGTGCATGCAAAAGATACTGTATTGATGCATTTTGCTGTCAGAGACGACAGAAAGACAGTAGTATGCCAGTTCTATTGTCTTTATGCTCTACAGGATAATGCCGGAAAAGAGCCCCTCACAAAAAGACCGTACAATTTGGTATGCTGTCCACCAACTACATACATCGACCAACAGCTCGATATAAGGTACTGATTTCCGCCTCTACGTTTGGAAGAAGTGGTAAAACTCACAACTGAGCAAACAATGAACAGCAGTAGCAACAGTGAGTTCATTTTCTCTCCCACATATCGCAGGCTGTTACCATAGGAACAAGAATACAATCACGTTCGCGTGATGAACAAAACAGAAGTGTAGACTATAGGGCTGACTGATAAACAACCGATCAATAATAGCCTGACCTAATCTGCACGACGAGTGTTCAAAATACAGGGGATAAAACGAAATAAAATGAATTGCTCTCTTCATTACACAGTTCGGTGTGATGAAGAGAAAGACTAAGAGGGGAATCCATGATTACGAGGAACTCGTGAAACCAGAGAAATACGATGCGTAAAATTAAGTAATGAAACATGCGCTGTAACAGATTTTTCTATAGCGAAGGATTAAATGCGTTTAATCTAATTAAACTTGACATTAGACTCTATTCAGTCATTCACATGCTATTTATTGTAAAAAGAAGCTGAACATTCACCCTGTTGTCGAGTTTGCTGAGGGTAGACGCATCGGCGCTACAGAAATGAACATAGAATTATCGCAATGATCGCAACGAACTAGTGTCTGAGATAAAAGTAATATTTGTGTTGCCTAGTGTAACTATGGAGTACAAGTATGAGAATGACTTGACGAAGGATTGCCGGATAGGTATGCCTGATGAACAAGAAAGATCGCGAAAGTGATGCTACCGGTTTCGCGATCGTTCTCGCTCATCAGGTCGTTCTAATACTTCTACCTTCTACGAGATAGCATAGGGGCAATGAAAGCAGAAATAATACAAGCTCAAAAAACCGACTGGTGTTGAAAGGCGTCGAGCTGAAAACCAATCGGACGTCAACGACGGTATAAAAAAGGCAGTTGTTTTATCCAGACCTATTTTGAAAGTGATTCTTAATAAAGTTTTATAAGATGCAGTAAACACTGACGAAGGCTGATTGACAACCTTTGATTTCACTCGTAAAAGTTTATCAACAAACCATTCAGAATGTACATGGAATGAAGTTTGGACGGGATGACCCTTTCGTAGACGTCATGGTTTACTAATTGCTAGTGGTAATCATCTAAAGCCCCAGTAGGATAGACACGATACATGATACAGGTGACAGCAAAGAGGTCCATCACTAAGGGTAAGTGGTGATGCTGGGGCTTGAACCTACGACCTTATGAGCCAGTATACCATTAGCGCTCAGAATGGGAACTTTTATGGTAAGCGTGCAAAGCGTGACATGCTTTACTGAAACATGGCCAAGTTCTAGTTACTTTGTATCTTTTTCATTCGTGCTCAACAGTTTTATCCGCGTCGGATGTTACCTCAAAACATCACTTAGCCGAAGAGCAATTCAGGTGTCCTGTCAGAGAAAAACTGAAAATAATGAAACTTTCGACTGTGTAGTAGAAAAAAATTGAGACTACAAAGCAAAACCAGATGACGGCGGACGC